ACACACACACACTGTATATGGGAGATTTGAACTTTATGGCTCCCACTCCCAGAAATCACATCTCTTAACAGCATGAGTCTAAAATATATGACATTGGTTATTTCTAAATCTAACTTTGGAGCTGCCTCGTGAGGAGAGGGAAATTATGAAAAGTCATAGTGTCTTCGTCATCTGTGAAATAGATACCAGTTGGAGTGAAATTGTGTTTTATTACCACCTGATAATGTCTGTGAAAACAGGACCATAAACCAGTAAAGTGCTGTGTTGGGCTTTTCCTCACTATCACTGCAGCAGGATGAGAAAGATGAGGCCCCATGGGGGAACATGTTTCTCATCCAGATAAACATCACAACTGTTTATAGATTAATCGTCTTCACAATCCTGGCGCTCATTCCACAGGATGAAAAGTAAACAGTATTAGTACTCACAGACTATATAGTCCTAAGTGTGGGGTGGCCTTAAAATATCCCAAAATGCTTTTAAAGTGGGAAGTGTCTATTGAGATGAATGGGGAGATGACCTGCCATGGGGAGTAGAAATGGTCATTTTGTGAAAATTGTGAAACAAGTTAAATTGATTCAAATAATATCTTGAAAATGTGTTGATAACTGTTAATTAATAGATGTTTGTTGTTGACAAAATGTGTTAAGATCAGTTGCTACCTTTTGTAATGTTGTGTTGTGACCTTTTCCCTTGACAGAAGAGGTCCTTCCATAGGTGTTTGGTATACTCTACTGAATGTACAGGTAACTGTGGAGCTGGGGGAGCACGGCTATGAAGACAACAGGTTAGCATGGAGCACATGGACACACTGTTGTGTGTGTGAGGTGTTGGTGTTGTATTGTATCATTGTATGTGGAGCACTTCCATCAAGAGCAACTTCTAGACAACGCAATGGTCTTGGTGTGCTTTTGTTCAGAGCATGAGTGACCTATGACGAAGTCCTCGTTACACAAAGGGTCATTTATATTTGCACAACCCCCACCTTCATGAAAACATTCACGCAGGTGGTGGACCATTTCTTCTCCCTTCAATTCCATTTAAACTGAAATATACACTCATTGTCGCCCTCTGCTGTTGTACAGCAATAATACACATTACTCTTCTCCACTGAACTTGCTGTCCTTCAGCACAGGGGGCTTGAATTACTTCAAAACATTCCATATTGAACTAGGTAATTGCAACCCCCCTCACACACTTCCACACTCTTTGTACTGGCCGGCCCCCTGGAACTGCATGGTAATACTTCATTATGGCAGGGCCGGAATTTGGGGGGGGGGGGGGGGGGGGGGCGGCAGCTTCACGTAGGTTCAAACTACAGTATGAACTCCTGAAGACAGGTCTCGTCTGTGATGTCACTCATGTTTGACTGTCGCTTTAAAGCACTAATTCTCAAACCACTGATGACGTATGGCTGCAAAACTACACTCGGTACACGATGTGAACCGTTTGAGATCCAGTGCTTTAAGAGCTATAATCATATGTGTTTGGACATGAAGTGTCTCCATAGTAACCTGGCCCACTTCCCCTCATCGCCGGCTCCTTGTGCTGAGGCGATCAGGTGACTGAAAGACAAACACCGTTGTGGACACATTTCAGTCGTGCACAGGCTGCTATGGCTTCAGTTGTCCACCAGATGTCACTGTCATTTAAGCCTTGAAGCTTTGATTCTTTATCACTACGATTGTTAAGAACGCCTCGGTGCCTAATGACGCGTCTGCACACCACTACTTCTTGGTAAAAATCATAGAACAGTAAGTCAGCTTTCACATCTCAACATACGTCCTTTTCCCGAATTTCACAAAGACATATTTCACCAGGGCCATATTTTATTGCATTCAGGTACATTACGAGGACTTCTTCCACTTTTGGGCAACAATCATATACTATGACTCCCATGAGTCGTTGACACTGCGCTGAAGATTTGTTTCAGGTCCATCAGATGACACACAGTTAACTCTTTAAACTCTCCATTTAGAGACCGTCAACGAGTTTCCTTACAACAATGTGAGTATTACAGGTATATTTATGGGCCCATTCATTTCATGTCATTTTAAACACATATATAACTTCATCGCTCACAATTGTTTTTTTCGCCGCTTCACGGTCTCTCGTCTCGCATGTGCCTCTCACGCAGTAACTTATTGATGGTCCCTAAATGAAGAGCCTTACAGCGATTTCACCGCGGTCACAACACATCGCTGCGTTTACACCAACTTTACTCGCTGTGGAGAGCGTGAGTTTTGTCTACGTTTATAATACCTTATTTTTATACTATTTCGTCAAATAGGTCAGACATGGGAGAAATGCCGGAACAGGAGGACCTCTCTCAAGTTATTCGTCACATTTTACAAACGGCTCCTGATGACAGAAAAAAACTCCTGGACAATCACAGCAACCTCCTGCAAGTAGCAGATTATTGCGAAAACAACTACTTTAAGGTCAGTCAATGAGACGGGAAATATTCTCAAAGCTTCAACGTTCGGCTTCTTTTGCTGCAAATATTTCTGCATGTAAAAAACTACCTAATGTTATATTTTCACCTCATCCTGTAGGTGGACGATCAGTCTCAAGCAGTGGAAGAAGCCAAAGCTTTGACCACTCAGGCTCTAGCCAGTGTGACGTATCAGATCAACAGCTTGGCCAACACTGTGGTCAGACTACTGGACTCCCAGGCCATGAAGGTTAAAGCCATGGAGTCCTCAGTCAACCTGCTGTCACTGGTGAGATCAAAGCTCTACCTTCTACTCAATTATTGTACTTTAAATCCATAGAGCTACATTTTGTTCGACTTGTCATTGTACACAAACAGAAACATGTAGAATTTATCAATACAGTGGTCCCTCTCTATATCGCGGTTCTCCTCTCACTCCCTTAGTACATCGCAAATATTTTTTATTCCAATCTTGCCAGTTATTTTATGGTAAATATATTTTATATATATTAATTATATATTACATATATATTAATTCCCTACAGGGAGAAAGTTGATGAGTCACTACAATGAAGATTTGGGAAAGGGTAGTTGAAGCTAGGTTGAGCCAGGAAGTGGAGATTTGTGAACAACAGTATGGTTTCATGCCTAGGAAGAGTACCACAGATGCAATATTTGCCTTGAGGATGTTGATGGAGAAGTACAGAGAAGGTCAGAAGGAGCTACATTGTGTATTTGTAGATCTAGAAAAGGCATATGACAAAGTGCCAAGGGAGGAATTGTGGTTTTGTATGAGGAAGTCAGGAGTGGCAGAGACGTATGTTAGTTTGGTGCAGGACATGTATGAGAATAGTACAACAGCAGTGAGGTGTGCTGTTGGAAGGACAGAAGACTTCAAAGTGGAGGTGGGACTACATCAAGGATCGGCCCTGAGCCCCTTCTTGTTTGCTGTGGTGATGGACAGATTGACAGATGAGGTCAGACAGGAGTCCCCATGGACTATGATGTTTGCAGATGACATTGTGATCTGTAGTGAGAGTAGGCAGCAGCTAGAAGAGAACCTAGAGAGGTGGAGGTTTGCACTAGAAAGAAGAGGAATGAAGGTCAGTCGCAGCAAGACAGAGTACATGTGTGTAAACGAAAGGCAGAACAGTGAAATAGTGAGGCTACAAGGAGCAGAGGTGGTGAAGGTGCAGGAGTTTAGGTACTTAGGATCAACTGTTCAGAGCAGCGGAGACTGTGGAAGAGAGGTGAAGAATAGAGTACAGGCAGGATGGAACAGCTGGAGAAAAGTGTCAGGAGTGATCGGTGGCAGAAGAGTGTCAGCTAAGGTGAAGGGAAAGGTTTACAGGACAGTGGTGAGACCAGCCATGATGTATGGTTTAGAGACAGTAGCAATAGGCAGAAGACAGGAGGAGGAGCTGGAGGTGGCAGAGTTAAAGATGCTAAGATTCTCTTTAGGAGTGACAAGAATGGACAGGGTCAGGAATGAGGTCATTAGAGGGACAACACAGACAGGAAGGTTTGGAGAAAAAGCTAGAGAAGCCAGATTGAGATGGTTTGGACATGTGCAGAGGAGGGACAGTGGATACATTGGTAGAAGAATGTTAGAGATGGAGCTACCAGGTAGGAGAAAAAGAGGAAGGCCAAAGAGGAGATATATGGATGCAGTGAGGGAGGACATGCAGATAGTTGGAGTCAGAGTAGAAGATGCAGAGAACAGGGAGAGATGGAAATCAATGATTCGCTGTGGCAACCCCTGAAAAAGCCGAAAGAAAAAGATATTTATATATATACATTTCCAATATTTTCATTATTTTCGTGAAAGAAAAACATTTTGTAACCTAAAAAAAAGAAACAGTAAAAATATATTATAAAAATAAACTGAAAGACTTACCTGGTAGCTTTGTTTACCTAGAGATTGAACACAGCATTGAGCATGCTCTACTGTTCCTCACTCTGATTGGCTCATGCATCGTATCATCTCTCAGCATCTCCCTTTGTCTGTCCGCCACTCGCCGTTACGTAGTACGTTGCTGTAAAGTTTGTGTTCTTGTGTTTGGTGACAGTTGACCCTAATTGAACGCCCTACGATGCCTCCTAAACGCTCTGATCATCTTCTCAGGCTTTTGTTACAAAGCCCAAACAAAGACGCTGACACAGATGACAGTTAATAGCCTTTATTTGTCTTTACAATAATATGCGCTCTGCCCAGCTTTCATATACAGTCTGTCCATCTAGGCCAGTATGCACTTGGTGCAGTGGTTTGCTACATACATGCTTATTATTTCTACTAACATTCTACAGCTTTATGTTTTTTAGTCATTACGTTTCTTTTTTTTTATTTTTAATAGTGCCCCACCTATTTTAAGGACTATTGTGATGACAAAGAATTGCTTCACTTCTTGGATATCACACATGCCCTTTGCCTGAACTACAGGCTAAAGATGTTCTCTCTGCTTCAGGGTGCAGAAATCCACTTCGAGAAGGTCTCAAGGCGAGAGATCGGCAATTTCACCGCCCCCAAGGAGAAGATCCGTACCAGGCGCATGGCTCCGCCCCCTACAGGCCTGGAGCCAGAGAAACGCTGGACCAGGATGCCAATATCCTACTCCATCCTGGACTCTGTGGGACACTGCTTTCAGGTAGACAGACTTGTGCACAATGGCTGGTGGTACAAGTACTAAGTGTAGCTCATCCTTGTTCAACTTCATTCATGTGTGCAGGTGAAGCAGGAGCCTGTGAAGACAGCAGACAGCACACAGACCTCAGCAGATACTTTTACGTGAGTTTAAACCTCTTTTAAACCTTTCACAAAAACTGTAGTGTTAGTCATTTAACACAAATAGGTTTCACGTTGGGAAAAAGACAAACCTTTAAAACTAAAACAATGCTTGACCTTTTCCCTATCACAGCAGTTAACCTCCACAATGAGAGGCTAACAATGTTTAAAAGACAACTTAAAATGATCTAAGAAACATTTTAGCCACAGAACTTAAAAAAAGCTTCATTTTCTTTAACTAAACTGCTATTTCAAAGCTAACTATAAATATAGCATTAATTATCAACTACATATATTATTTACAGACCTAAATGCTAAGCACACCTCTGTTAAGACATTTACTAGGTATAAACTTCTCCTCCTGCAGGTGGAGCTTTGGCATCACTGTTCCTTCACCCGCAGTTCCCACTTTAAAAATTGGCTCCAACTCCACTGATAGTAGTCTGCCTCCCGCTCCTCCTGCAGACCCTGGTATACCTACTCTTCCACCAACTTCCACAGGCCCAGATTTCCCACCTCCACCTGCTCCATCAACAAACAGTTTGTCAAACAGCACCTACCCTCCTTCGCCGCCTCTTCCAGTGTCAGGAGCTGGTGTTTTCTGTCCTCCACCACCCCCACCACCCCCATCATTAGGAGCAGGTTCTTTACCACCTCCTCCACCTACATTCGGAGCTGGTCCTCTGTCTCCCCCACCACCTCCAGGATCTGGTCCTCTGCCTCCCCTGCCTCCACCACCTCCAGGATCTGGTCCTCTGCCTCCCCCACCTCCACCACCTCCAGGATCTGGTCCTCTGCCTCCCCTGCCTCCACCACCTCCAGGATCTGGTCCTCTGCCTCCCCCACCTCCACCACCTCCAGGATCTGGTCCTCTGCCTCCCCTGCCTCCACCACCTCCAGGATCTGGTCCTCTGCCTCCCCCCCCCCCCCCACCTCCAGGATCTGGTCCTCTGCCTCCCCCCCCCCCCCCACCTCCAGGATCTGGTCCTCTGCCTCCCCCCCCCCCCCCACCTCCAGGATCTGGTCCTTTGCCTCCCCCACCTCCAGGATCTGGTCCTCTGCCTCCCCTGCCTCCACCACCTCCAGGATCTGGTCCTCTGCCTCCCCCCCCCCCCCCACCTCCAGGATCTGGTCCTCTGCCTCCCCCCCCCCCCCCACCTCCAGGATCTGGTCCTCTGCCTCCCCCCCCCCCCCCACCTCCAGGATCTGGTCCTCTGCCTCCCCCACCTCCACCACCTCCAGGATCTGGTCCTCTGCCTCCCCCACCTCCACCACCTCCAGGATCTGGTCCTCTGCCTCCCCCACCTCCACCACCTCCAGGATCTGGTCCTCTGCCTCCCCCCCCCCCCCCACCTCCAGGATCTGGTCCTTTGCCTCCCCCACCTCCAGGATCTGGTCCTCTGCCTCCCCTGCCTCCACCACCTCCAGGATCTGGTCCTCTGCCTCCCCCCCCCCCCCCACCTCCAGGATCTGGTCCTCTGCCTCCCCTGCCTCCACCACCTCCAGGATCTGGTCCTCTGCCTCCCCCCCCCCCCCCACCTCCAGGATCTGGTCCTCTGCCTCCCCTGCCTCCACCACCTCCAGGATCTGGTCCTCTGCCTCCCCCCCCCCCCCCACCTCCAGGATCTGGTCCTCTGCCTCCCCCCCCCCCCCCACCTCCAGGATCTGGTCCTTTGCCTCCCCCACCTCCAGGATCTGGTCCTCTGCCTCCCCTGCCTCCACCACCTCCAGGATCTGGTCCTCTGCCTCCCCCCCCTCCAGAATCTGGTCCTCTGCCTCCACCACCACCTCCTCCACCATTATTTTAAGGAGCTGGTCGTTCCCCTCATGTTTTGGTTATACACAAGACAAGTACAAGACAGAGAAAGTGAAGAACATTTTGTTGGTTTCATACAAAATGCTACTGTGGATGTCCACATTTCCACTCTTCATGCTAAGCTAACTTCAGCATTGAGGCCTAGCCCACTGCTTACACATGTTTCTGAGAATATATCTAATGTGACCAACAAATAAATGATTCTTTACTCTTAAACGTTTCTTACTTTTTAAGTTAACTCACCGTTAGCTGGTGGGTGATCACTTCTGAATCCACGGCCCCCATGGTCCTCTTCCTCCACAATCTGGTCTCTGGTCCCCTATCTCACAGCTCATGCTGGTTCAAAACTCCTCTAGAACCTGAGGAACCATAAGAGAAGCACAATCAAACATCTCACACTTCTCCTCCTGCAGGTGGAGCTTTGGCATCACTGTTCCTTCACCCGCAGTTCCCACTTTAAAAATTGGCTCCAACTCCACTGATAGTAGTCTGCCTCCCGCTCCTCCTGCAGACCCTGGTATACCTACTCTTCCACCAACTTCCACAGGTCCAGATTTCCCACCTCCACCCGCTCCATCAACAAAGAGTTTGTCAAACAGCACCTACCCTCCTTCGCCGCCTCTTCCAGTTTCAGGAGCTGGTGTTTTCTGTTCTCCACCACCCCCATCATTAGGAGCGGGTTCTTTACCACCTCCTCCACCTACATTTGGAGCCGGTCCTCTGCCCCCCCTTCCCCCTCTCTGCCTCCACCACCACCTCCTCCACCATTATTTTAAGGAGCTGGTCGTTCCCCTCATGTTTTGGTTATACACAAGACAAGTACAAGACAGAGAAAGTGAAGAACATTTTGTTGGTTTCATACAAAATGCTACTGTGGATGTCCACATTTCCACTCTTCATGCTAAGCTAACTTCAGCGTTGAGGCCTAGCCCACTGCTTACACATGTTTCTGAGAATATATCTAATGTGACCAACAAATAAATGATTCTTTACTCTTAAACGTTTCTTACTTTTTAAGTTAACTCACCGTTAGCTGGTGGGTGATCACTTCTGAATCCACGGCCCCCATGGTCCTCTTCCTCCACAATCTGGTCTCTGGTCCCCAGAAGCACAATCAAACATCTCACACTTCCCTCCATGACCTTCACCTCCCTCTGCACGTCTTTATACTGTGGGGAACCAAGTACATGGAGCAAACCTTATCACAGAACGTGCACAGATGAAAGGCAGTGTCGTGTCTAATGTTCATAAAGAGTTTCACTATTCCTGGGTTTTATTCCATTAAAAATATTAACAGCTTCTCTCAATAGGTTTACACAGGTTTTCTCTGCAAACAGAAACAAATACATTTCACAGAAAGCCTAACCAGCAACCTGTACACTGTGCCACAGCACCAGCCAACACCCCTGGTCTAGGCAGTTTAAATAATTAGTTCATATTTGTATGTTTCTATTTCAAATGTGCCACTGAAACATTACTACTTCACCTTGTCAACTCACACCACTGCTAATACTAATGCTGTCTTTCAACCCCATATTAATCAAGCCTACAAGCTGCTTAAACTGACCTTTGTATTTTTAACACAAGGTAGAGAGTGTAGGGGTAATTAAAGCCCTGACAGTATCTCTACAGATCCTTCAGAGGTTGTGGACCACATTGAAGACCTTTGATTTAAGGTTTGAGCTGTTGGTTGTGGCAAAATGTTTTACTTTGAAAAAAAAACTTACATAAAGGTTATAAGATTTCCTTTCAAGAACTACAGTGATTTCAAAGACTTCAAAAAAAGCACACAGCCCAGAACAGAACTGCACAGAAAACTAGTACAACTAGTGTGTATTTCATATATTTCTGGATTCTGTTAAAACAACAGTGGGTTTTTGTGTCCAATTAAATAAAGCCTGATTGTGTCCTTCAGTCATCTCATCTGTGTTGCCTCAGTTCACACTGTTTCACCTCCAGGAAAAAGAAAAAAAACCCTTCCTCCCGGTGAAACATTCTGCAGCGGTACAACCTTCTGCTCCTGAGCATGTTCCAACAGACCCTGGCTCTGCATTCCTGAGACACACGCTGAAACACAGATTCTTGTATATGTGCCTCTCCTGACTGCATATCCTGTCATTCCCAGTTCACCTCAATAGTCCAGTGGCCTTTAGCCTCACACGTCAGTCTCTATAGACCAAGAATTGTGTCAATAGTGATAAGTTGGTCACGTCACTACTGCTAATCTCACTTATTAACTGCCTTAAACAGGTCACTCGGGCTATAAAATGTATGGGAACAGTGAACAGTCTCCACAGGCTGAACTGTCTGGACCTGACTCAGGTGAGCTCCACTTTAAATGCTATTAATAGAACATTAAACACTCATTGCTCTGATTTCCTATATGGAAATTTGTTCAGAAAATGTCTGAAACTGAATTAATTTGACTCACAAGTTTCTTTACGATTCTATACTTCTATGATTTCATGTGTAACACCAGCTTTAAACAGCTGTGCAAACACATGTCCACAGCTACGGTGAAGCTAATTATAGTATAGTGCAGTGCAGTTTTTATGCACACATAGTAATTATGACTCTCTGTGCATGGGAAAATAATATAAAATATTAAAGGAGTGACAACACAAAATATAAATGCACAGATTCTGTTGGATTTTTTTTTTATTTCTCAGCACATTTCTTCAGATTTAGAAATGTTAACTCTGCACTTTGTCTTCTACTATTTTCTAAAATGTTTGGTACGATTTTCTGTGTGTGACACAGCGTTAGTCCTGGCTGTCTGCTAAATGCTATTCAGAAAACACCTTTATGGTTCCATATCACAATTTGACATCTGTCAAACTAACCATAAATGTTACCATTGTGGGACGGACAAAGGACTTCTTAATCTTACTTTCATGCATTTTCTGTAATGTTCATGTTAAATTGGGTGATGACAATTTTTGTAACCTGGTTTTAGTTTTTTCTTACATTACATGTTTTTAACACTCCACGTACTGTTCTCACATTTTAAAAAGAGATTCTTTTTTTCAGTTGAGTAAATCGCCATGGTGGTCTACTACCCTACTGTTACGTGAGTACAACCTAAAAGTCATTTCACATACTTCATACTTTACACACAGTTCACTTGACTTGACTCTACTCTCGTTTTTTCCTCTGTGCAGAATCCCCTTGTTGGGACTTGTTATTGCACTCTGGCTCATTTTGTGCCATTACACAAGGAAACAAGGAGGAGAAGAAGAAGCCTGGCCACCAAGAGCTAACAACTCTGCCTCTGTTTACATCATCCCCATGCATGAAGAAGAAGACGAAGAGTCAGACTCGTGTGACCCAAATTCTCAAACTTCCTACAACGTTCCTCCAGTGTATGGTTCCGGAAACATCAGTCCGCCCCCATACAGGGTAAAGTCTTCAAAGTCTTGCTCTTCAAAGTGCATTAATGGTGTCTTTTGTTCTAACATTTTGTATAACAAATATTCTTGCACTATTTGTAAGTCATCTAATCAACCATCTCCTGTTCTTCACAGTGTGAACCACCGTCTTACTCAGAGTCTCCTCCACCATACATCGACCCTCAACTTTCTCCACAGCAGACCTGTGTCTCCCCTATCTCCTCCTCCTGCACTTTAAATCCTACATAGTCTCAACTTATCTTTCTTGATTGTCAAATGAACCTAAAAGCACAGACTATTCACGGTATGAATATGTGGGCATTAGAGACATCTTGTGGTTAAATTTCACACTGCAACAACCTAATAGTCCTCTACTGCTGCCCCAGTGTGGCGTATGTATGAAGACACAACATACCTGTGTTGTAGGACTGACTGGGGTTGTCCACTCTGGGCTGATGTAGAACATCACCGGTCTCTTATTTTCTGAATCTGTAACCTGTCGTTTACAAAGACATCATTTGTTTTGGTGTTATATTTATTTTTCTTTGAGCTTGTAAAGTTTGCTGTGACATTTTTTCGTGTCTTCAAGAATCTTTGATTGTCATGACATTGCAGACAATGACAGTGGAATGATACTTTTTTCTTTTTTGACATGTTTTTGTGTGTTTCTAAAACTATGCAAAGATACGTTCTGTCTGTTATAAGTTGTTTCACATGTTATCCTAATGTAGTTCAGTTGTTACATATTGTCATAATTATTCTGAATGACAATAAAGATGTAAAATAAAAAAGAACTACAGCAGTCTGTGATTGATGATTATGATGACAAATGAAACTACATGCAGGTTGGTAGCAATGATTTAAGATTTCATAGGCAAGGATATAAGAGTAGGTATATACAAGTTAAGTTTTGTACAGACACCTGGTATAGTATGTTTAGTGTGATCAAAGATTAGCGTACCAAAAAAGTATATTTTTTTCTGAATTTTAACCAGAAAAATAGACATTGAAAGCATTTTAAGGCAAATTAGTGGATTTTTATTTTATTTTTAGTTTTGAAGACATTTTTGGGAAATTATTAGTATAGTATGTTAGTGTAATGAAAGATTGGCGTACGAAAAAGTATATTTTTTCTGAATTCTAACCATAGAAAAGAACGTTGCTACATATTTTAAGTTAAATAAGTGGATTTTTATTTATTTTTGAGAATCTTTTATTTCTGAAGAATTATTCAGGATATTATTAGTATAGTATGTTAGTGTGATCAAAGATTGATGTACCAAAAAAAGTATATTTTTTCTGAATTCTAACTGTAGAACTGGACATTGCTACATATTTTAAGGCAAATGAGTGCATTTTATTCAACCTCCTCCTGCACTTTAAATCCTACATAGTCTCAACTTATCTTTCTTGATTGTCAAATGAACCTAAAAGCACAGACATGTCTACATCTGTGACCCTAAGGCAAATATTCACAATATGAATATGTGGGCATTAGAGACATCTTGTGGTTAAATTTCACACTGCAACAACCTAATAGTCCTCTACTGCTGCCCCAGTGTGGCGTATGTATGAAGACACAACATACCTGTGTTGTAGGACTGACTGGGGTTGTCCACTCTGGGCTGATGTAGAACATCACCGGTCTCTTATTTTCTGAATCTGTAACCTGTCATTCACAAAGACATAATTTTTTTGGTGTTGCACAGAGATGTATGACAATAAAGATGTTAAATGGAAAGAACTACAGCAGTCTGTGATTGATGGTTATGATGACAAATGAAATCACATGCAGGTTGTTAACAATGCTTTGTGATTTCATATGCTATGCTATGCTATAAAAGGATATAAAAGTAGGAAGCAAAACAGTTTTTAAAATTCTTCTTAACTATTACATCAAGTCCTGAAAGGATATATCCTTTCTGGAGGAATTAGGCAAGTACGGAAATCAGGTAAGTACTGCAGATAAGGTACTGCCATTTTGTATGAACGCTGGTAAGTACATTTATCAGACACACCATTTATAAACTTATTTTTCTTTTATAAGCTATTACTGCCTATACGGTGCAATATATTTGTAATTATATTTCAAATTATAAAATAATGGAATAATGATTTAAAAAGTACATTTTTTTTATCTTAACATTAAGCTTTTTTTTCACACCACACAGTTGTCTGAAGTAACTGGTATCTCTGTCCTGTATCTTTAAACATGACTATAATGCTGTAAAAGTGCTTTATGTCACGCACTTCCCTAAGCCACACTTTAGTCTTTTGAAGCCGACCCACAGATTGACACTGCTGTTTTGGATGCTTTATTCTGGTAAGGACTACATACAGATAACACACATTAAGTTCCAGTGACAGCTTTGAACTGCTGTGTCTGTTTGAAAGATTCAAAATGACCATAGGGCTTTAGCTTTCTTACTCAAGCAGCCATGACTAACAGATTTATAGGATGAAGGTCCAAAGACAGTTACCGGTAACTCCATTACACACAGCCCTATTGTAATGCTTTACAAATGGCAAACAAGGACTTCACTACTCTGGTTGTTACTGCAGAACAGACTTTAACGGTTTGAAAATTCAGGTTTTTCCCCAAGATTTAGATTTCTTTCTTGTGATTTTTCTTTGTTGAACTAAACACTTATTAAATGTAAAGTTTTAGTATGTGGCTCAATAAAATTATACACTGAGCCGTTCTCTCCTCAGTTATGTTGGAACTGACCTAATCCCAGTCATGACTGAGGCACTAAGTATTTTTGGTTATATGTAAGTAAAGCAGTAAAATACACAGTACATTAAATTATTTTGCCCTGGAAGATAAACTTACTTCATATGAATGAACATGGTCCTCAGGTTCCCAGCCTCGGTGGTCTCCATCGTCGTGGTGCTCTTCTGCTTCTACATTCATGCAAAAAAGAAAAGAGAGACATACGACGTGACCACGCCCACAGCAGAGGGAGACACCACCATTCCACAACACCTCACTGTTTCTGTGGAAGTAGATGAAGAGAACAGATGTTATGACATACGGCCTCCTCGCTACAGCTCTGTGGATTCTCCACCTCCGTACACACTGGTGAGTGGAGTGACATTAGCCACACCCAGAACTTTACAGCTATAGGAAAGGAAACCTCTGGTACTTGTATTTAGATTGACTATATTAACAACTATTTACAAAATACAAACCCACCTCCTATATACCCTCTACTGTTATCTTTAGGTGGAAACAGTATACAATATTCTTAAATGCACTTGAAAAAATAAATGTACTTTTTCTGCAGTTTGATCCAATGATAACAGGAATCTGGCCACCAGGGGCACTGCCTTCCTATGACATTTATCCCATAATGCTGCCTGTGATACACTGGACCACAACAAGAAGACCCCGGAGTCCATCCTGTTGACCCACATCCATAAAAGTGACTTTGCATTTCATTTGTTACTTTTCAATTGTTTAAAATTAATTAGACAATAAAGATGGTTTTCTGGAAATTTTCAATTTATATATGAACACAACCAAACCTACAGTGTGCATACAATTTCAGTACAGCTGCATCTAGTCATGGCAGAATCATCAATGTGTTTCTCTACATATATACTATGTACCCTTTATTACATTACTGTACTTACAAGTTTTAGGGAGGGAAGAGGGAAGTACTAAATAATTTGCCGGTGTCTGAAAATAAATAGTGACAAAAGTGAAGTTTCGTACAATTATGAAAAATAGTGTTTCCTTGGCTTTTGAACCATTTTAAGGCAAACGTAAGTGTCAAGAAGCCACTGGTAAAAATTTCAAAGATGTGAGAAAATTCAGATTCAAACTGTGATGCTAAGTTAGGTTCATACTACAATAGATACACACTGTAGGCTACACAATATCCTTTTTCTAGTACTGTATGTAATCAGTGCTACAAATACTACTTCAACAGAAACCAGCATATAGGTGATCGTCTGACTGCCTGTTGCAGTATAGGATGGAAAAACTCCACTGTTACCTATGTAAAAAAAAATGTTGGAAAGATTGATCTTAAATGCTTCAGCTGGGTTTCTCCACTGGTTTTTAGTGTTTCATGTGTACATACAGTATGCATATGTATGTGTTTATATAGATGTATTGCACATATATAAGTGTTTGTCTACAAATTTTTATATTGCTGTTCTTTTTTAACATGAATGGAGACACAATTACGGCACATACAATCAAACCTACTTCATGATGGAACAGTGAAATGTAGAGAATAAAATTTTAAAATAACGTTTTGGTATTTCACCATCATTACCGTTTCCCTACTGATCCACGAATAAAAGGTGAAAAGGTTGAATTGGCTTCAATTCAAAGAAATCATAATTAAAAGCTTTTTTATATATAAATACATGTACATCCATCTAAGTCAGGCATGGGCAAACTACAGCCCGGGGGCCGGATACGGCCTGTTTGGCTTTTTTAATCTGACTTGTCCAAATTATATTAC